TCCCTGGCCAGTGTCATCATCTCATAGCCTATGACCATGGCCAGTGTCATCATGGCCCATGTCCCCATGTCACCACCCTGTGTCCCCATGACTCCATGGCCGGTGTCATCATGGTCCATGTCCCTATGTCACCACCCTGTGTTCCCACGGCTCGCTGGCCAGTGTCATCATCCCAAAGCCCATGACCCCATGGTCAGTGCCATCATGGCCCATGTCCCCATGTTGTGTCCCCATGGCTCCCTGGCCAGTGTCATCATCCCATAGCCCATGACCCCATGGTCCATATCATGACCCTGTGTCCCCATGTCACCACCCTGTGTCCCCAATGGCTCCATGGCCAGCGTCATCATCCTGTGTCCCCATGTCCTCATGACCAATGTCATCCTTCTTGTATTCTTAAGATCCCATAGCTCACTGGATCTAGGATATGGGACTCAGAGGCCCATGTCCCCATTGTCCATATCACCCATCATGTGGCTCCAGGGTCCTGTGGACCATGTCAACCCTCCTGTGTCCACATGACCTGTGTCCTACTACAGAACCAGAGAATCATTATAGTTGGAAAGGACTTTGGAGATCACCAATTCCAATCGCAGGCCCTTCACCACCATACCTGTTAAAACACGTGTATCCCTGTGACTGTGCCATCCCCATATCTTGCATCTCTATGTCTTGTAGCTCCATGACTCTGTGTTCCCTGCTATAGCCCGATTTCCTACAGCTCCAGCGTCCTGTATCCCTGCGTCCAGCATGGATCCATGTCCTCATGTGCCTCTACCTCCTTACTTCCATTGCGCTGTGTCCCCCTGTCCCCATGTCTCCATGCCTTGTATCACTGTGCCCTATGGTCCTGTGTCATGTCCAGCCTCCATATGGCCATGTGTCCCCATGGCTTGTGTCCTGTGTCTCCTCTGGCTTGGGTGGCAGGCAGAGCACTCAAGTCCCAGTCCAAAACCTCATGTCCCATGCTGGTCCTGTCGGGCCAACCATCACTCCCACTGTTGGGACATTCTCCTGGGGACCATGTATCTCCCTCCTTGTGACAAAAAGGGTTAGAGGCAGAGCTCCTCATGGTGCTCATCCACCTGTCACAGCAGGATGACAGGTGGACACAATGACATTAACAGTGAGGACAGTAGTGACACACCAGGTCAGGAGACTAGGATTAGCCAGTCCATGGGACACCCTGGTGACATGGGGACATTAGCCACCAACCCAGGGATATCATCTGGCTTGGTGACATCTCCCATGGCTGAGCTTTGAACAGGGGCTAAAGCGACGACAGGAGCTCAGGGGGAATCAAACCAAGGTTCCTGTGTATAAATATTGGCTAAATAGATTTATTTTCATACAAAGAATACACGGATTCCCCTGACAGAGTGCCCTCACCTCGGGGGACACCCTGCAATGCCACCAGCCATCCCACTTGGTCCTGCTTGGTCCTCACCCTGTTGCCCCTGAGGTGCAAGCTTCATCCCTAGGTGGATCCAGCCCATGGGGACATCCTGGGGACATGGGACGGTGTCTGGATGTGACTTCTTTGTTGGGGACCGCTTTTGGCGAAAGAGTTTGTGCCTGCCTCCTTCCAGGAATATCCCTATCCTGAGATTCTCTTTCGTCCTCACTCCAGGTCTTCTTCTGGTGATAACCAAACTCTTGTTGGGGCTTCAGTCCCTCTTTCATCACCCAAGAACAGTCCCCTCTTGCTAGGGCCAGGAAAAGCTGGACTTACCTTTAGGTGCTATCAGGACACAGCCCTGAGGCCTTGACACTTCATGACCTTGGGGACATCCTTGTCCCTCAACCTCCAACACCCCCATGCAGAGATAGGGGCTGCCTCGTCGCCCACATTTTGCCTCCTGTCCCCTTGGGCACCCTCCCTGCTGGGTGTCCTGTTCCCTTGTGGTCGGACCTGGGGGCACCCTGGGACATTTCGGGGTGTCCCCCCGCAAGTGCCCTAATACTGTGGCTGGTAACAGACCCCTCCACGTGCCGTATGTACACGCTGAATAAAAGAAGAAAATACAGGTATTTATAGCTCCCCTTTCCGCTGGGAACCCCCTGGCCCTGAGCCATGTTGTCCCCTGCGTCTCTGTCCTCTGCTGGCTCGGAGCGAGTGGGGTCCCCTCTCCTGTCCCCAGCCTGGCCTGAGCGCAGGATGGGTGCAGGGAGGGAGGGCCCAGGACACGGGGCGGCCTCTCCTGCTCCTTCCCGGGCCTCTTTTGCACCTGGAGACTTGTGCCGGGTCTCAGTTTCTCCATCAGGTTGGGGTGGAGCTGGTGTCACCTGCCCTGTTGTTCTGGGGGAAGCTGGCCCAGCCTGCGGCGGTGGCAGCGGGACACTGGGTCCTCCATCCTATCCCTTTGAAGCAGCCGGGATGAGCAGAGTGGGAAGGCAGCAGGATGAGTGGGTGCTTGGGGCAGCCTCTGCCGTGTCCAGGCTCCGGGACCATTCCACATGGTTCCGTGATACCAGGTGCCATGGTGCCGGGGAGTGGGGCGAGAGGAGGCAGGGAGGCTCCCCTCCTCCTGCCTCGCTGCCGTGATGGAGAAACATCATAGACCAACACAACGCCCCTCTTCTCCCCAAACTGGAGATGATGGACACCGTCCTTTGCTGGGATCATCCAGCCCCAGGACCTAGCGGTGCTGCCATCCTTGAGCACCCGGCGGTGACAATGGTGGCCAGAGCCAGGCGGGCTTGTGGGGTCCCAAGGGTGGCCACGTCACCCTCTTGCCGTGCCTTTGGGGCAGGAGAGGAGGTGGCAGGAGGTCCCTGCGCTCTGAGTCCTGGCCCGCAGTGGATCTGGCCGTGGAGGGGACACAGGTGACAGGCAAAGGTATGTCTGTAGCCAGCTGGTGGCACCGGCCAGGGCTTGTGCAGGCCAGACCCCCAGGCCCAGCGAGCCCCAGCTGGCTCAGTTGCGCTTGCTGACCATCTGCCGATCCCTCTTCTTCTTCTCCATCAATCTGCCGTGGGGTGGAGAGGTGACATTAGTGACCTCTCCGCCGACCGCGGGGACCAAACTAGGGGCTGACGGCAAGGGAGAGCCCCGGGAGGACAGCCCGGAGTGGCCGGGAGAGACTCACTTGCGGTTGCGCACTTCGGTGAGCTCCATGAGTCGCTCCTGGGCTGCCCGCAGCTCGTCGAGGCGCTGCTGGTAGCGGGAGTCGCAGTTGTTGGTGCGCTCGTAGCTGGAGACCTGGCTGGAGAGCTCGCTAGCGCGGTCACGCAGCTGCTGGATGGACGAGTAGAGGTTCTCCTCGTCTTCCTCCTGCTCTGACACAAGGACATGAGGCTCGTGGGGCTGGTGCAGGCACCCAGGGCACTACTCTCCCCATCCAGTAGGGGAAATTGAGGCGTGAGGTGGGACAGGAAGATCTAGGTGAAGCTGGTGAGGGAGCAAAGGGGATGTGGGAGATCTGGGGAATGTCACAGGGCACAGGGAGGTTCCCATGGGAGACCCACCTTGGCATTGATGATCTCAATGTGGATGAGGAGGGCAGCGAGCTCCAGGTCCTCTGTGTAGCTGTTCTTCAGCGGCACTGACCGATAACCTGGATGTGACATTTTGGTTGTGACATTGCCCTGTCTCTTCAGCATGGCCATTGCTGCAGGCCACCAGCACATTGCCATCCCCAAAGCAGGCCCCCAAGGGGCTGAATTTCAGGTGGACATCCAGGGAGCCATTGAGATGGACACCCTCCATCCCAGGTGCATACCTGTTTTGAGGCCTTTGACGGGGAAGGTGGCTTGTGCCAAAAAGTTAGGGTCGCTGAACATGTCCTCCTCGTACACCACAAAGCGGAGGAAGGCGAACTCGGGGTTGTTGATGTCGAAGACGAACTGCTTGAAGAGCCACACGGGGTTGAAACCATTGTCAGCTGGTAGGCAAGGAGAGAACAGGCAGGGATCAGAGCATGGAGCTGGGCTGGATGCCTGGATGGCATGGCACCGACGTGGCACCATGGGTGTCCATGTGGGTGGCACACAGTCACAGCTCCCTTGGGTGCTTGTTGTCAGTGGGAGACACCTTTCCCACTCTGGAAACTCCAACTGGAAACCCCAATTACATTTCCGAGGTGGGACCCCAAAAGACACATGCGTGTGGACCCTCACCGACAACATCCGTCTTGTTCTTGCTGTTGTCATACTCGGAGCCACACACCTCCACCTCCACAAAGGGGCACACGATGCTCCTCCCGTTCTTGGGCAAGTGCCGGGCACCAAGGATCTGCAAGAGGAGGAAGAGGAGGCTGAGACCCAGCTGTCCTGGCCCTGTAGGCTAGGAAGAGTTCCTGGAGTAGCTTTATCCTTTATATATCATCAATGCTTTATGGCCAAATGAGTGTCACGAGACTCTCTCTAGTCTATGTATGAATCTGGACCTATTTTAGCTTGATTTTGGCTTAGGAAACTTGTTTTCTCCATAACTTGCTCAAGGATCAGATGACCACAAGCTAACCTGTCCTAGCTGTAACCCACCACTGGGGTAAAGTAGCCCTGACCTTGTAACCCACCTTTGGAGTAATGTGGCCCTGACCTTGTTTTAGCTATTTTATTGTCCAGCTCCTTCCCTCTCAGGTTTTGCTCAGCTCCATGCAATACCTCATGCAGAGAAGAACCAACAGATCTAAGAGGCTGCAATATAACAAACCCTGTAGAGCAATGGCAGAGGTCAGAGCATATCCCAGCAGCAAATATGGGGCTGAAGCATGTGAAATCCCCTGCAAAGGCCTCAAGATTGAGGAAGATGAAAGACCCCATCATCTTGGCACTGATGGTGAACACCTTGGGGTGCTGGCAAGTCACCGTTCTCTGCTTGTTGTCCCCCATGCCACTGGCCCCCACTTACCTGCAGCTGCACCGTGATAGGCTCCACAATCTTCAGGCTGTTCTTGTCAAAAGGGTCGAACGTTTCATCCCTCATGATGTCAGGCTGCAGGACGTAGCCGCTGCGGCCTCCGAGCATGAACAGCGCCTGGTTCAGCTGCATGGGTTTATCTGCCAAACATGGGGACAGAGCAGCTCTGAGCCTTGGGGCTCAAGGCTCCTCGAGGTCCCCAGGAAGAAGGAGGCAACCTCTTTTCTCTCCACAGAAAGTCCCTGACCCAGGATAGGAGAAGGGAAGCAGCTGGGTATCACACGAAACATCCAAGCACTGAGTGAGGATGTCCCCATTAGGATGGAGATGGGGATTGGATAGCTCATCCAAGCCACATCCAGAGGTGGGACCAGGTGGGAGAGCCACCAGGGATGCGAGAAATGAGGTGACCTGCATGAGCGAGCCCATCAGCCACCCTAAGAGCAGGATTTACCAGGGGTCTGGAAGTTGAGGGCCACCAGTTGGCTGCCGCAGATCCACATGGGCAGCGGGTCGTAGTTGGAGGAATCCAAGCGCTGGCCTTTGGGGTAGATGCGACTGAGCTGGCGCCGGTTGTACTGCAGGAACTTCTTGCCCTTGCTGCGGTTGGCGTATTTCTCTGCTTTGGTCTCCGGGAAGGAGGACATGTCCCGGTAACAGGCCTTGTCTGTGCCGATCTCTGCAAGCACAAAAGGAAATTGTCAGTGGGCAGAGCACCCTTGGGACCTCTCAGTTCCCTGCCTGCCCAGCTCCTGCCCTGGTGAGACCATCACCCTCCTGGCTCTTACTATCTTCATCGAACGGCACCGGGCGGCAATAAACGACGAGCTCGGAGAGCTCCAGTGCAATCTTCTTCCTCCGCTCCATGATCTTCCCCTCTTGCATCTGTAGGAGGGAAAACAGGAGCTGAAACCATCGCTTTGCGATGCCCCAGCCTCCCCCCGGACCCCTCTGCAGGGATACTCTATAGATGATGACATGGAAACATGCTCCAAAACGCAACCCTTATTTTGCCCCATGTTCTGCAGAGACGTTGAGGACCAGAACTCAGGATCTCCTTCTCTGCACCCAGGATTTCACCCCTTGTCACAACTAGGGCCAGCTCAGTGGGCTTGGGGATATGGGCTGCTGGGCTTGCGATCCCATGGGAGCCTCCTTTCTCCCTGCCTCCTGTCTCCCTGGCAGGGAGCGGGTGATGCTGAGCCTCTCTCCAGGTCCTGCAGCACCCAGAGGAGCCCCTCACCCTGGCATCGGCGTTCTGTGTGGCCTCCCGGATCTTGGCCACCCACTCGCTGAGCTCCTCTTGCGTGTCTGCGGCCACGTCCAGCGACTGGGCTGCGTGGGACATCTGCTGGGAATGGATGGTGAAGACAAATGGTTTGGAGCTCCTCCCGTCTTTGGAGATAACTATAAGGACATCAGAGGGGGCTTTACTTGAAGAGGTTCCCAACGGATGGCTCTGTGGAGCAAACGAAACCTCAGCGGTCCTGCGGGGCCCACGGCAAAGCGTGAGACAGGAGTGCGCTGGGGACCGCGGCTCCCGGGTACCCCCCCTGCACCCCAGTTGGTGCCCGGCTCGGCCCCTCTCGCCTGCTCTGGCCCTGCAATGGGGCTTTGGGGGTGCCGCATGGGTGCGAACAGGGGCAAATCTTCACCGAGGGTGCAGGGGAGAGGGTGCAAATCTGGTGTCACCTGCTGTGGTGCCACCTGCGACACAGGGCACAGCAGAGGGCGAGTGCCGCGACTGCTGGCATGGCTTGTCCAGGTCTGCCACCATTTGGACGTTGCAGAACGGGCCTCTTGGGCTCCAAATTCAGCCCCATGATTCCCCCGCTCACCACGAGGCCGCTGCCCGTCCCCCAGCCAGAGCAAGGGCAGTGACGTTCAGCCCTTCCCTGCTTGGCCGCGGCACCTGCCACATGGCAGCTGGTGGCCTCTGCCAGCCACCAGGTTGACGAATGGGTCCTTCATCCGGGTGGGTGATGAGGTTCAAGGCCCTCATCCCATTGCAATGAACCTTAGCTTCCCCTGCACACTCCTGTCCCCGCCATGGGTGCGTAGTGGAGACACTCACCTACGTGGCAGGACGGCACGTCGATGAAGCCCTTCAGGAAGTTCCCCAGGGGGCTGTTTTCCGATGACTGCGGGAGAGGAAGGAAGAGAGAGTGGTGAAAGGTTGTCACATGGAGCCCAGCGCTCGCTGACTTTGTCCCACTTGCTTTGGCAGCCTCCCTAACCCCAAAGACTCCCCCTGGTTTTGTCAAATCTCAGCAAAAGCCAGGAAAAAACCTTCTCCCCATTCAAATGCCACAACACTTATGGATGAGGATGCTGTGTCCAGAGCCTGGAGTATCCCTGGGCTCTGGATCAGGATCCATGCTCAAACAGACTCGACTCCAGGTGCGCATGGGGAGCCAGCACAGGGACATCCCACTCACAGCTTCATCCTGCTCCTGTGCCTGCGCGTTCACGATCTCCTCCACGTAGTTGGCTGGGAACCACAGCTGCTTTTTGCCTCCATAGTCCCCCCGCCACCTAGAAGGGGTGAGAGGATCAAGGCAAGCGGACTGATTTGGGGAGGACGGGGGTGTTAACACTGCATGTGATGTCAGGGAATGGTTGGAGAAGAGAGGGACAGAAAAGGAGGCAGTTAAAAGCTGTCGCAGTAGCACCCACTGCCCGTGTGGTTGCTGTGTGGTCTTGCAGCACCCGAAGTCCCAGGGGGTCTTGGCAAGGGGATCTCTGGGGACTCAACATGCCATTGGAGCTGCTAACCTGCAGCTTTTGCCCTGGCACAGCTCAGGGTGGACTTCTCCACCTTGGAGCTGCAGACCAAGGATCCTGCTAATGGTGGGCCTGTCCTGCAGCAGCATCTCTGCTCTGCTTCCAGCACACGTGGTGGGGAATGTGAGGGACTATCCCAAACCTGTGCCCGCTTGGCAAAACTTTGTGTTAGGAGGGTCCTTCCAGCCCTGGGCTTGCAAACAAGCCACTTTGTGATGGTAGGGGACGTGGGGCTGCCCTAGGTTGGCCAGGGACTCTGCTTACCAGCCACCGTCCTGCTTGTCTACGTTGTGGATGATGGCCTGCTTGCAGAACGACAGCTCGTCCTCCCGCTGGGCTTTGTAGTCATAGAGAGCCTTCACTGTGCACTGGGCCACAGGGGAGAGAGACATGGGCGTCACTGCTTGTCCCTCAGGGGTCCCTGGTTTAGGGACACTGCCCTGGGGCTGGTGGCAGGGCACCCTGCTGAGCCTGACTCCTCAAGCCCTGACATTTGCACGCAGGTGGTCTTGCTACCCAGGGTTAGTGCTCCTGGATCCAAATGATGTCCCTAAGTAGCCCACACCAACAGCAGGAGGCTGGATGAGGTAGAGGGCAGGGAGTTCCTGCATTCCCGTGTAGTGTCCTCAGGGAGAGCTGCACGGCAGGAGCCCCACATATCTGCTGCACTTCCAGCCAGCAGGTCAATTCAGAGACCAGCACAGGGTCTGGATTAGACCAAAGAGCTTGGTGCTACATGGGGGTCTCAAGGTGAGCAAGATACTGGTCTGCCCTCTTACCCTGGCCATGGGCATCTTGTTGGCCTCCACGTAGAAGTGAGGGGTCCGCACCTCGTACAGGGCTCCGTAGTCCAGCTCCTGCAAGGAGAAACAATGGAACGAGGTCACCTGGCTGCTCGGTTGCCAGGATGGGCAGGGAACTGCATCCAGTTGAGGGGCAGCTAGCTGCCCTTTCCCAATAATTCGAGGGGCATTACAAAGATAACTGAGGCAAACTCTTTGTGGTGGGGGAAGCTGATAAAACCTGAAGCAGACTGCAGCGTGGCCAGGTTGGAATTGCAGCAAATCTCCCTCTCCAGGAGAGAGCTGCAGGTGGGTCTTTAGATCTCCATCCTGGAGTTTTCGGCTGTCCCAGTGCAGCAATGGCAACAACCCTGCCCTGAGGTGGAGGGCTGGGAGCCCTCTAGGAGGCTGAAGCAGAGACCTTCCCATCCCAAAGAAGCTCGAGGCAGATTTGCCTACAAAGCAAGCTCTCACTCACAGTGGTGCCCATCTTCTCCAAGGTCTCCTCGTTGATGGGGTAACGCAGCTTCATCTTGCGGTACAGAGGGTGCTTCTCGTAGTAGCTCACGAGGTCCACGAGGCTCTCGAACTCGGCCGAGCTGCCCAGCATGAAGAGCCGACCCTCCTGCTGGATGCGGCAGTGCTTGATCTTCCCCTCCGCCCTGGTGCCGAGAGAGACGGGGGTGGACATGAGGGGTGCTGTGAGGTCCAGATCATAGGGACCACAGCGATAGGGGAGAGCTGGGTAGGAGGGGGCATCACCCTGGCTGCCAGCCCTGCCTCACAGTGTTGAGTCACAGGAGCCACAAGCCGGGCAGTTCTCAGCCCACCTTGCAGCGTGGATGCCCAGGAGCAGCCCATGCAACCTCAGGATGTTGTGGAGGCCACACTCACCTGAAGGAGATGGCGTAGGAGCTGGGTTCGCTGCGCTTGCGCACCAGGAAGGCTCCATCCCGTGGGACCCTCATCAACATGTGCTCGGCCTGCAGGCGTGTCAAGTTGGCGTGGTACCACCTGGAGAGGGGACAGCAAGAAGGAGGGTGGCTGATGCCACCATCCCTGGGCATCCCTTGCCCAACATTGGCTCTGCCACGGGGCCAGAGCCAGGCACAGGGAGGGCAGGAAGGAGAAGTCATGAAGCAGGAGGAGGGCAGCAGGGCCAGGGAGCACCCTCACTCTTTGCTTTCATGGGCGTTGGGCTGGGGCACGGGGTCCGTGAGGCGCATCTCGAACTCGTTGCAGCGGAGTGGCACCTCGCGGTAGTGGCAGATGAGGCTGTAGAGGCTGTCGAAGACCAGGTTGTCCGTCAGGTAGAACTTGGTGGTGCCGGCTTCCTGCCGCGAGTGGATGCGGCAGTGCTGGACGCGGTTGGATCTCCTGTTGGGAGGGGAAGAAGGAGGTCGTGAGCAGTGCTGGGGTGCACAGGGCTTGCCTAGTCTCCACATCTGCATCCCAGGTCTTAGCAGAGATGCATCTGCCCCAGCATCCTCTCCTGCCCCTTGCATGTAGACGTGTGTTGTGTAGCTCCTGGGTCCAATGTGAGTCAGGGCACAGCTGTGCAAGGCACTGCACGCCATGTAAAAACCAGTGCTGTCCCCCAGACCTCTTACTGACCCTAATTCCCACCTCTGAACTGGGAATTTGCTGGGAACAACCCCTGATCACCCAGAGGGACTCCCAGGTTGGCGATCTCCTGGGGAAGGCCTGAACCCACTGCCATCTCCAAGTGGCAGAGACAGGGACTGCCCATGGAGTATGTTCTGGGAAGAGGATGATGTGCCACGTGCTGGGAAGGGGATGGTGTGGCCACCAGGCTGGGGCTCCTACCAGAAGGAGAGAGTGTAGTCGCCCACGAAGGTCTCACTCTCCCGCACGAGGAAGGTGCCGTCCTTTCCGCCTGTCTCGGTGCAATATTCGTGCAGCAGTTTCTCAGCAATCTGCCGCCCATCGCGGCCCCCTCCCAGCTTCCCGTGGAACCACTTCTCTGTGAAGTGCAGCTCGTTGTTGTTGAACTCCTGTGGACCACCAGAGACATTAGGGGTTAGTGTCCCCATAAGCCGTGGGGTAGAGACCTGGGGCACCATAAACTTCTCCCCCTCCCCGTGGATATCTTCATATGACCCCTAGAAGGTTGTGCACCTCCACCCACCTCCTTCTGCTCCACCTCTTCCTCATCCTCATTGAACTGGTAGCGGGATGTCTCCTCCGAGTAGTAGATCTTGTTGCTCGTCAGGACGAAGTAATGTGGGCTCCAGGTCTGGGAGAAAGAAGGAGAATCACCAGGGCAGGGACAAGGGTGGTGTGAAACAGTAGGGCTTTAAGGCCCCCTTTCTTGCTCAACGTCTCCATGCAATAGCAATGACTTAGCAGAGTGTGCGCCCTGTGCTTGCTCCATATCCTGATGCTCTCCCACACCAGCATGTCCTGCATCACTGACTGACTGACTGCATTTGTTCCTGGCCCCCCTCCCCTCCTCTTTTTTTTGGTAAGAAAGACTCTTACATGATCAATGGGGTCTTCAAGGTAGAGGATGCCATTTTTGATGGAGTTGCTGATGTCATTCTCGGAGTAGCTGGCTGTGGAGACCTCCTCATACAGGTTGCCTTCAACCAGTTTCTTGTGCTGGGGAAAGAGCCCAGAGAGAGGAGTTCAGCTGGGATGGTCACCCCATCACTCTGTGACACTTGCCAAGCTCTCAAGATGATATTTAGGAAGTAAAGGCAGAGCCTTGCAGATTTCCTCACAACTGGTGAATTTTGGTGTTTATCTCCTGCATAATTCTGTGCCATCAACACCACCTGCAATGTATCCAGAGATTCCCAAGCCCTGCAGGTCTGTCCTTGCACTGAGAGATCCCTAGCATCCTATTATTTGGGTTTAGAGGTATTTGGGGAAATCCCCATCCCTTTCAGCCTAATGTTGTTCTTGCCCCTCCTGGTCCTGTCAGGAAAGAGGAGCTTCAGTGAGATGTCAGGCTCTGCACCTTGATAAGGATCTTCTTCTTGAGCTGCGTGGGTGATGGTAACTCATCAGCGTTGATGTCCACCGGCTTGGTGAGCAACATGTCCCCAAAGACCTTCTTGAAATGGGAGGCCATGTTCCTCTGCTGGACAATGCTGCAGTGGTCTTCAATGGAGAGGATGATGGGGAACCTGGAGGAAGCAGCCATGAAAAGTGTCTCAGTCTCAGCTCACTCGTACTCCCAGCAGGGACAAGCCAAAGCCTGAGGGAGCAAACGGTGAGCCATTGGCTGGGCCACAGGCAGAAGAAGAAGTAAGTAGAGGGGAATTTGGTTCTGCAGGGACCAGAGTTGAGGGTGCTGTGAGACAAACATGGCCTGGGAGCTCGGAGTGAGATTGGTGAAGGTACTGGGGGTTCTTACTCGGAGGTGACGAATGCGTGCTCCTTGATGGTGTGCAGGACATCCAGGAACTTGATCTTGGAAGTGAGTGTGTGGCCATGGTAGATGATGGGCAGGTCATCTGGGCCATCCCAGCAGTCCACTGAATGGGGGGGACAGTCTAGTTAACGTGTGCCCATCTCCAGGCCCACATCCCTGCCTTGCTCCCAGCTCGCACTTCTGGCATGCAGATGTGTCATGTATCTCTCCATGCATCACGGAGGAGGTTTTTGGGCCCCAGAGGATGCAAGAAGGCCACCCCTCACCCCAGCGTGCCAGTGGGGCATGGGATGTGCCTATGGAACCATCTGTCAGATGTGCTGCGGGGTGCTGAGGGGGTCATCACTGTGAGGTCCCAGCAACTGGGAAAGCCAGCAAGGATGGGGTCACTCACGCTCAATGCAGCGGCAGCCCATGCGGAGGCAGCGGGCGTACGCCTCCAAGGAGGACTCGCTGGAGAACTGGTCCCCTGTCAGGTACCTAAGAGGAGCAAGGGGAACCGTGAATGGGCTGGCTACTTGTGCCAGCAATAAAAGCAAGGAGGCTCCATGCAAGCACAGAGGTCAACCAGAGTGAGTGAGGACGAGTGGGCCTCGGATGCCGAAGGACGGGCAGCCCCAAGGCTGGGGCAGAGTCTGGCTTACGTGTTATGAGAGGAGGAGATCCAGTACTGTGAGAGGGGGTGGTTCATCTCCTCAGGCACTACGCGCTCGTATTTTGAGTCCATCACCATGTTCTCCTTGGAGAAGAGGTAAGTCAGGAACTGGGGAGGAAGCAGAGAAGTTAGAGCGTGCTGGGGTGGGAGATCCTTGCAGGGGCTGTCACTGTGGGGTGGCCACGCACCTCATCCAGCTGGAAGGAGGGGTCTGCTGCCTCGGTGGAACAGTCCCTGAGGTAGGAGCACATGTAGTCCCGCACCACGCCCACGTCACTGGCCCAGGGCTCCTAGGGCAGAAACGTGATGCACCATTCAGGGAGAGTTGGGAGCAATAAGGCAATCAGGAAGAGGGATCCTATCAGGGTCTCCATGGTTGGGCCCTGCAGGAACCCAGGAGGGTTTCCAAGGTGGAGGTTGGGAGCTATTCCAGAGGGATCTCCAAGTCCAGACCAGGAAGGATCTCTGAGGGGTCTCCAAGACCAGGCCTGGGAGGATTCCCTCAGGAATCAACAAGACTGAGGTCAGGAGGAATCTTTGAGGGATCTCTTAAGCCAGGGTCAGACATCTCCAAGACTCTTCCAAGGCTGGGGCAGGAGGAATCTCTAAGAGATCTCTAAGGCAGAGTCAGAAAGGATCTCTAAAGTCAGAGTCAGGGTAAACCCTGAGGAATCTCTAAGGCTGGTTCAGGAGATCCCTCTGGGATTCTGGTCCCCTGGATCTCTAAGAACGGGACCAGCAGGAACCTGGGGGTTCTTTAAGGCTGGGGCTGGGGGATTTTTAAGGTATCTCCAAGACTGGAGCCAGAAGGATCCCTGAGGGATTCCCTGCAAAGAATGGGATTGTTGGACAAGGTTGGGAGTGATCCTAATAACTGGGAAGAGGAAGTCTCAAATTAGTAAAGAATAAAGTGTTCTCTGGGACAGAATGAGAAATCACTGCCTGGTCTTGGTGAGGATATTGAGGTTATCTTTAGTATCTATATAAAAGTGTCTATATGCGGCTGGGTGCAGGCAGTGGTGAGAAGCCACCAAGGTGACCCCTTTGGGGATGATATTGTGCTGTGGAAACCTCGGACATGGAGGGATCACAGGGACAACCCACCTTCTGGTCATGCAGCAGAAACTTCTGGAAGTCATAGAGAGAGATCTGGCAGAGCTCTGGCCGATCCACGTTCCTGGGGGTATGAAGAGGTCCTCAGGAGGCGAGCCAAGGAAGTTCTCCAGAGGGAAAGGAGAGCTGCTTGCACCAGCCCATGGCTCCTTCTCCTGAGGCCCCCATTTAACACAACATCCTGCCTTTGCAAGGCAGTGTGCAATAAGTCTGAGGAGAGGAAATACCACAGGAAGCCTGGGAGCACTCAGAGCTGTCCCATGGGGTAGCAATAGAGACCCAACCAGGGCCACACTGGTTTGGAAGACGCAAGAACGTGGGGTTGCATCCATTGTGTTTCCAGAGGTAATGCGGGAAAAGGTGGTGCAACAGCTTCCAGCATCCCAGGCACATCCTGAATAACGTCCCCTGATGTCACCCTATCACCTGTGCACACATTGCCCCAACATCTGGGCTGACATCCCTGCCATGGCTCCACCATGTCCCACCAACCTACCTCACATCCCCACTCACACCTCACTTCTGCGCACCTCATTTCTCCCTCATGTATCTGCTCAGATCCGTTCCTATGGACCATGTCTGCCACCCTGTCCTTGTCCCTCATGTCCAGCCTTGTCCCAGGTCAAGACAGGCAATGTATCCCTCCATTTACCCTGTCCTCAGAGGGTGGCTGTGATGCCAGAGGGGTCCATGAGTGTCTGGGTACTCACCGCAAGGGGAAGGAGAGCTCCAGCTGCTCAATGACCTGCAAAGCAAAGGAGTTCTTAGCCTTAGCTGGATGGGGACCACTTGGTCAACTGGGGATGTTTGGGTGGATAGGGCTGCAGACATATCTCTTACCGACTTCTGTGTGTCAAACATCAGGTTTTTGTAGAACTGGACGAAGTGGGAGAAAGTCATCTCATTCCTGGCTTCCACCTCCTGGAGGGCCAGGGAGAGAGGGTAGTGTGTGAGCAGGCAGCTGGCACAGGGACCACGATGGCAGGGTGGCCACACACCGAGGTGTGCGGTGGGATAATGGTCTGCATCCCTGAACGTGGTGGGGGTGCCCCACAGAAGCCTCCTGCTCCAGTGTCCCTGCCCAGGGGCTGAGCTGGGGTGGCCAGGACACGCGCTGGGCCTTACCACGAGCTTGTCCCGCAGGAACCTCATGTTGGGTACACGGTAGTTCACCTGGGGCAGCATGGCCTTCAGGTCCTTCACTGTGATGCTGTGGGATGGAGAAGTGGGGTCAGAGCATCTGTCAGATCCTGCAGGACCTTCAGGAGAACCTCAGGTACTGGGGGGCTGGCACTGTGGGATCATCTCAAGTGTCCTGATCTCTCTCAGTCTTCTCCAATTTCCCCAGTCTCCTCAATTCCCCTGATCTCCCCAGGTCCTGCCCATTTCCACAGATCCCCAGTCTTCCATGACCCTCATATCCAATTTTCCTGGTCTCCCTCCATCTCACCTGATTCTCCATGATATTGCAGTTCTCCCCAGATACCTCCCAAGTGCCATGATCCTTCCTGATCCCTCAGTGTCCCCTGATGTCCCCAATCCTCAATCCCTCCTGATACCTTGCTACCCCAATCCTGCCAGGCTTCCTCAATTCTGATCCCCTCAATGTCTCTTGACTCCCCCAAACTGCTCCAATTTCCTCTGACCCTCTATCTCCTCCGTGTGACAAGGTGCTGGTGCTAGTGAGGTTGAAGGACAGCTAAGACCACTTGGGCACAGAGCCTCTGCACAGAGGTCTCCTCATGTACCTCCTTGTTAGAGCCAGCCTGGTTGCTGGCTGGGGGCCCTGACCTCAACCAAGTTTTGGATCATGGACCCAGGACCTTCAGCCAAACAGTCCCAAAACAACTCCAAAATATGAGCAATTATTTCCCAAGTGTTTTGAAGGAGAACAAAAACAGCTTTGAGGAGATCAGATCGGGGAGGGACCTTAATCTCCCCTTGTAAAGGAATGGCACTCTCAGATTTGCTCCAAAAGCAATTTTCCCTTTTTCTTTCTTTTTTTTTTCTTTTTTTTCCAATTTAGTTGGGAACATGGGACTGATCCAACCATGCGAGCCTTGAGTGGAGGATGGGGGAGAAGATGTGCATCCATGTGTCCCACCTGGAAGTGACGCCAGCCCATCCGAGCTGGCCTCTCACCTGCCTTCCCGTGACCTGTCCATGGCATCAAACTGTTTCCGCAGCCACCTGGGGAAGGAAAGAAGAGTTGGGGCTCAGCATGAATTTGTCCCCTGTGTGTGCTCATCTCCCTTGATGTCCCAACCGTACAGGACATCAAGGAGCAGCTGCACTGGGGTCACAGAGCCCTCCTCACCTTTCAATCTGCAGTGGGGTCTGGGCTTTTTGGGTGTCTGCCACCAACCAGTTGAGGCCTGTTATCCACAGGTTGATGTCTTCCTCACAGAAAGCTAGAGGAAGAAGATGAGGATAGTGAGGTTGGGAGGAGGAGAGAAGAGCGGATAAAGGGCTGTGCTGCATCTGAGCATGAATGAGATGCCTAATGCCAGGTGGAGGGAGGCAGGGATGATCACCAGGTAGGTGCCCCCAAAGTAGGAACTTCTCCTCCCCTCTTCCCATTGCCATGTCCCAAGCCAGGGACTGGAGATGGATAAGAAAACCCGAGGTCCTTAGAAAAGAAGCCACGAACCAGCCACGCTGAGCGTGCGCAGCCTGAAGTCCATCCCATAGAGGATGATGAAGCACATGGTGAAGTCGAGCTTGCGAGCGTCCTCCGGGTAGCGTTCGAAGTCCCGCGAGTTCTTCCCCAAGCGGATCTCCTTTATCTCTCGAATGTCGACTGCATGGAGAGAAGGACACAGAACCGTCACCTTCAGCCCTGCCACCCAGGAGGGTGAGGGCAAGACAAGGGGCTATGGCAACTTGGGGCTTTGCAGCGATGGAAGGAAGTGGGATTCAGAGCGGGATGCTCTGCAATAGGTGGCTGGCAGACAGGCCAGAGGAGGACATCAGTGGGATGCAGAAGCCATGGGATGAGAAGGGATGGTGCCCAGGGGGTAGGATCTTGGCATCCTTCATGGTGCTGTTGGCATCAACTTTTGGGGCAGGGAACAGAGGAGCGTGGATGGAGCAGGGTTTGGGACAACGTGCAGGGTCAGAGCCACAACATCTGCACTGGGTCCAAGGCAGAAGAGAAGAGAAAGAAAGGGAGAAGAAAGAGAGAGAAAGGGAGAAGGAGAAGAGAAGGAGAAGGAGAAGGAGAAGGAGAAGGAGAAGGAGAAGGAGAAGGAGAAGGAGAAGGAGAAGGAGAAGGAGAAGGAGAAGGAGAAATAAAAAGAATGAATGGAAGAAGGAACGGAAGAGAAGGAAAATGGGAAGGATGTTGTGGGTGAAGGAGGAAGAACACGTATGAAGGGGCAGGGAAGGCTCCTGCTGAGTTGCCCAGAGTGGTAGAGATGCCCACATGGAGACCGTACAGCACAACATGGCACAACAGCCACAATGTCACCACAACCATGCAGCACCATGTCCACTACTGTGACAACATCACGGGTGCTGCATGTCCTTTGGGGAGCCTTGTCCCCAGGTAGCGTGTCCTTGCAGCTGTGCTCATCGGGGCATGATGGCACTGAAGATGCCATGGTCATGGATCCTCCAGAGGATTGTGTCACCAGAATGTCTGACCCCCAAGATAGGACACCCCCACAGCACTGCCCATTGGACATGATGGCACCGTGGATGCCATGTGTCCTTTGGGGAGTCATATCTCCAAGACAGGATAACTCCTTGGCACTGCCCAAGGGTGCCACATGTCCTCTTGAGAACCATGTCCCCAAGACGAGACATCTCCATGGCACTGCCCATGGGGGCATGATGGCACCATGGATGCATGATGGCACCATGGGTGCCATGTGTCCTTGGAGGATCCATGTCCCCAAGACAGGACAGCCCCATGGCCCTGCCCTTGGGTGCATGAAGGCACCATGTGTCCTCTGGGGAGCCATGTCCCCAAGATGGGATAACCCCTTGACACTGCTCATGGTTCCTCCACCATGGTTCCTCCTCCACTGCTCATGGTGTCCTCTTGGGAATCACGTCCCCAGGACAGGACTTTCCCATGACACTGTCCATGGGTTCATGAAGGCACCCTGTGTCCTCTGAGGAACAATGTCCTCAAGACTGGACATCCCCACAGCACTACCCATGGATGCACAAAGGCACTATGGGTGCCATGTGTCCTCCAGAGTGCCCTGTCCCCAAGGCAGACCCTATGCTCAGGTGGCCATGCCGTAGACCAGGAGGTCAGGGGCTGCTCCATGCCCTCCATCCAAGCTCTGCTCTGTCCCTCCTCCGGGTGCTCTGGCCTCCTCTCCTCCAGAACGGTCTGAGCTCATCATCTAATTGAAGACATCTGCCCAAAGGTGGCAATTTCGAAGGCCAGGACCGCAGGGCGTTGCTTTCCGGCCGGCCCCGCGCTCTCATTATCCTGGCTATATAAAGTCCCCGCCGGCGGGGCAGGAGGGCTGGGTTTCCGGGCCGGACTCTTCCTTGGAGTTACGACGTCGGAGAATATTTCCAATTGCATTTACAGAGCGAGCCCATCCCACCGTGCTGGGCAGTGGCAGCATAATAATAAAAATAATATTTTGAGTATTAGTAACAATAGCTGATGCTGGCCCCCTTAGATGGGGTGTCACCCCCCTGTGGATCTGTCACTTGGGGTGCTGGGACAGGGGCCCCCGGGGCCGGAAAGGGCTTGGTGCAGCCAAGGCTGCGCTCAGAATGTGCGTCCGTGTGCGGAGGGGGGAGAGAGGCGCCCGGCTGGGCTTATTGTGCCGCAGGAAATGGGTCATTTCCCGGCGATTTTCCAGCTGGGTTTCCTACAGCCCCGGTGAGGAAGGGTGCAGGGATGCAGGAGCAGCCGAGGCTGTGACGGGTGCCCAGTCGGCTCTGCAAACGTGGAGAGGGTGGGAACTGGGTTGCTTGAGCAGAAAGGGAATGTCACGGGGAGCATTTTCGTGAGCCAACCTGCTCGTTTGCAGAGGCAGAGCTTTCTCCTGGCGTCACAGAGGGGCGAGAAACCTGGGGACCCTGGGGCTGCACGTCCCAGGGAAGGAAAGCCCAGGATCCAACCTCAAAATCTTCCAGTTTTGCAAAGACCAAAGTGCCCGGTGGGATGAGCCATGGGTGACAGAGCGCGGCCGGCGGTTACTGCGTGGGCACCAGGCTTTCCACAGCCAACACCAGCGATGGATTTGTGGCAATTATGCCAAGAACGCGTCTACAAACTTCACCTCACATTGGTTTGGGGGGGCCTGGTCCCATGTCCCATTCTGGCTGCAAAAATCCCTTTCTCCTCCGCAGGCGGAGGAAGCAGCCAGAGCCTTGCGACGGGCACATGGGCAGCCTGGGACCCCAGAGCAGGACCAGCTGTTGGAAAGGGGTCCATGCAGCATCTGTTATCTGCCCTAGATCCGTGCATGAGGAGAAAAGCCAGGAAAAGTGGCCAGGAAGGAACTGCCATGCCGGGGAATTGCATTGCTCCCCCTAGACATCGCTGTGTGGCTCCAAAATGCCAGGAAAGAGGAAAAAATCTTAAAGTCCCTTAAAACCTAGGCTGGGCCCTGCTGACTGAACCAGCCTTTTTGAGGCGCTTTCCCATCGCAGCCCAGCAGATTTTCCAAGTGGAGATTGGAAACTGCTCTATTTTTAGCCAGGTTTTTCCTGTGTCCTCTCCCCATGCCAGGAGATGAGGAAAGGCCAAAGCCGCCCCTTTGCCCCTGCTGCTTTCATCCCTATTTCTCCAATTTGGAGCAATTCCAGGGTTCAAATTTTGGGGGTAAAGCAGCGCAAGGCGCTCGCTTCGCCCCTTGCTAGCCTGGCTGAGCTCAGGTCCAGCCATCGGGGGCCAAGGAACCGCAGAGCACAGCCGGGCAGGGGGACATGTGCCCCTTGTGCCATTAACACAGCGTGAAATTAAAACCTCTGCCAGGAACGGCGAGGCTTTCCCAAGGAAATCCCGGCATCGCAGCCGGCCCCGATAACAGAGACATCAGCGCTGACGGCCGCCCCGTAATCCCCTCGGCAGCCGCTCGCCGCAGCCAAGGGCGGATTTGAAACGGTCCCGGCTGGCGCCAGGTCGGCAGCGAGATCCCTGAGGATGCCGGCTGCGGTTGGGAAGCCGGGGTACTCCGTGGGGCTGGTGCGGAAAGTGAGGCAGAGCATGGGGAGCGAAATGCCAAAAAAAAAAAAAAAAAAAAAAAAAAACAAAACGGACAAAACCCCACACAAATAAAAGCAAAAAGCCGGAAACAGGTTATTTCCGTGAGTGGAGAGGGAGTTTTTGCTCCCTGATGGTCCTGGCTCCCTGGTGGCCCTGGGGCTTGTTGTCCTTGGCTTAGAGGAGAAACTTGGCACAGGTGCCCCAACCTTCCTCCCTTCCCCTCCTCCTCCTCCTCCATGCCATGGTTTGCAAGGGGGATCTGCCTGCCCAGAGCCAAGTGGGTCTGGGCAAGCGCTGATCATTGGGTGGCTACAGCTCCTGGGCTGCTTTTGACACCCCGGCATGACTACGACGGGATTTTTTGTGCCAAATCCGTGCCAAAATGAGTGGCGCTTTGGGAAAAGTGAGGCCTAGCTCTTCCTGCGGCTCGGTTTGGGAAAGTGCTTGGGGTGAAAAGTGATGGGTGCCCCGTGCTTGGTGGCAGGGAGCATCACGGGCCCACAGCAGCGTCTTGCAACGGCAGCTAAAAGTCATCATGGAGCTGCAAATCCTCCCTGTCAAAAAAAACCTGAAGGAGAAAGCGTAGTAGGTGCTGGGAGCCTATTAGACACCAGAGAATCCACAACGAGGGGTGATTTTTATGGATGCTCCGAGCGAGCTTTAGGGACCGTATTTCCAGCATCAGCAGCATGCTTCCAGCGGGATGGCCAAGGAATGGGATGGGAGGACCGCCAGGGTGGAGGACACGAGCGTGGCTCCGTGTCCACCCTCTCCGGCCGCGTTTGAACTGGGAAATGGGGGGAACGAGACCCGCAGCGGAGCATCCCGCCGCCCGGCGCTACTCACTGTCGCCTTCCACCTTCTCGGGCGTGCGGCTCCAGATGATCTGCCGGGTTTCCAGCTTCACCTGGAAGGTCCTTCGCTCGGGCCGCTGCGACTTCTTCTGGTAGAAGAGCGTGAGGACGGTGCCCATCTCGAGGCAGCGCAGGATGCGGCCCACGTCGCCCGCCTCCATCCTGCCCTCCTCCGGGAAGCCATTGACGCCGCCGTTGAGCCTGGACGCCGACATGTTCAGCGCGCGGCCATCGCCCGGCGCAGCCGCGGGGACGGGTCATGCAGGAGGGCGCGAGCCCCCCCCGGGGAAGCCGAGAAGCCCCGAGGGTTTCTCCTCCGGATGGTTTCTCCTCCCGGCGTTTCCCGGCTGTCGGAAGGGGTGGGCCGCGGGGCGAGGGCGAGGGCGGTGAGTCCGGCTCCGCTAGTGAGGAGATGGGCAGCAGTGACGGCTTCTCCGAATCAGGGCCGGAGGAGGGAAAAAAATCCAAGAAAAAGGCAAAAAAAAAAAAAAAGGAAAATAAAAATAAATCACGGCCAGGCCTGGGGAGACGGGAATAGCGGCGGCCCCTTGGTAGCCGTGGGGTGGAGGGCGGTGAATCCCCCTTGTTGCAAAGCGGAAAAGCGAAAAGCTGCAGCCGGAGCCACAGGCAGGGGATTCCTTGGGCTCCGTGTCCTGCGGGATCGACACCGGAGTGGCCGGGCCGGCTCGATCCCGGGAAGCTTGGAGGGCCGGGAAAAGGGGGAGAACCGGCGCCGGGGTGCCCAGCTCCGGGCCCCTGGGGGCGTCCCAGGGATCCGGGCGCACTCCGGGGGTGCCGATGGCGCCAGGGGGCGCGAGGCGGCTGGCGAGGGGTAAGGGGGGAGGCTGCCGCGTCCCCCCTGCTCCGCCGCCGCCACCGCTTAATTTGGGGCTGCCGAAATGGACGCCCAGAGGAAACGGCAATCACACATGGCCGGAAAGAGATCAGAAAGGAATTTAAAAAAAAAAAAAAAAAAAAAAAACTGGATCTTGGAGAAAGGAAAAAAAAAAAATCTGGAGTGGCGGCGGAAAAGGCGGAGGATGGTGACATCTAGAGGAAGGCGGCCCCAGTTTGGGCGGTGATTTTGGGGCTCCCCAGGCCTGACAGCCTAGATTTGGGGGCACCTCTCCGAGTGGGGCACTTTGGGGACCCCCCCCCAGGTGCACCCAGTGAGAGGTTGCACCCAGGGGCTGCGCTGCAGAGATGCAGGGCGGCCCCCAACAAGGCTGTTTTTGTGGGATACTGCCATGGAATTAACCCCTTGCGCCCACATTTGGCTCCTGTGCTGCCTGTGGACTGGGTGTCAATGTGGGAAAACCCACCAGCAATGGGGGCTCCATCCACTCGGAGCACCCATCATTTTCCATGGCATGGCTGTGATGTCTCCGAGGTTGTCTCCTGCTTTTGGCCCAGGTTCCTCCATCCCTTGAGGGTGGATGACCCCATTTCAAGTCATATCTGGGTGTCTCTTCCTCATATCATGATAGGACAAGCACCAAGGGTCAGATCTTACTGCATTGTGGAGCTGGTCCCTCAAGGACCAGGGTGATAAACTGTCATCAGAGGGAGTAGCATGACCATCTACAGGGCCTGGAGGGGTGTTATGAGCAATCTGTGGTGGGGACATGGGGTTTATCCAGCCCTCTCTGCCTGAAAGCCCTGCGATGCTCATCTGCATCTCTGTTAGGAGATCTCTGTCCTGATGTCCCCCTCCATCCGCTGGAGAAGTTGCTTGGGGACAAGCCTCCTTCCTGAGCCCATCTGTTGTTGCCATTGGGCTCCTAAGGGATTTGTGCTGAGCCGGGACACTGCAGCGCTGGGGTCTGTGTCTCCCACAACATCCAGCGATCCTGATGATGAAGACTGAGACGCCCAAGAGTCCTGGGGATGAAGCTTAGCACTGCAAGGGGTCTATCTGCAGCCCTGGCAGGAGAAGGGACATGGAGCCAACATGCTCATTAAAGCTCCTGAAAGCTCCCATCTCCACATGGTGGGAAAACAAGGACCCACTCAGAGCAGTTCATCTGTCAGTCTCAGCCTTTAAAAGCCTCAACCCTATTCCCAAAGTGGCTGCCGAGATCTTCCCAGCTTGCAGGTTCTCTGTTGTCTTAGGAGAGCCATCAATTTCTCTCCTACAAGGAGAAAAAAAAAAATCTTGTCTTTATTTTAGCTTTCATCTGTGCTGCCTTCTTTGAAAGCCTGCTAAGAGCTTCACTCCCATCCCTCTCCCATAACCATAGTTGATATTTCTGTCCCTGAGGAGCCCAAAGCCAGAGCAGGGAAGCAGCAGGGATTGAGTGCATCTCCATTATTGTTCCAAGGGGCAATTCCTGGGGCTGGAGGGGACAAGGCTCTGCAGAGGTGTCCCCTGAGTGCGTACATCCATCCAAATCACAGGAATTCAGGATGAGGAGGAGTAATCACCCTCAAACCTACCTGATGCTGACCAGGAGAGATTTATTCCTTCCTGCGCTGCAGGCTGTTTTTAATGCCTCAGATTAGGAAGAAACCTCACATTTCTCCACGGGGGTAGTTCCACATTTCGCATTTGTCCCGTGGTCACCTCCTGAATGGACTTGGACAGGGACAGACAGCCCTAGAGCAATGACAGCAGAGCGATGGGCACCTAGGAACCCTCTGGAAAACAGGGTAGGTCAGAGGGATCCCTAGTTTTGTGGCATGTGGATACTGAAATTCAAACTGAAGCACTTGTACCTTCATTCCTCAAGAAAAAAACGTCGTGGTTTCTATCAGAGCCATGATTGCAAAGTACCATCTCACTGGCTTTCTTGGTGGCCCTGTCTTGTGTTGTCCATGGTGAGGACAAAGGCTCTGAGAGGCAGGACTTCCCTGTGAGCAGCTCCACACTATGCTGCAATTCAGGGATGAAAGGGGAATTTGCACCCGGGAAGGTCAGTCCACACCAAAAATCACCACAATTATGATGTTTGCTGCCGGCTCCATGCCAAAAGTTTGGGTGGGAGAAGGGTGAGATCTCCAGTGCCTTTGGGCTGGCTCCCACACATGTCCCCTTCCCCGAAGAATTAGGGGAATTTGGGGGAAATAATGAGATCTTAAAGGCTCTTTTTCTTTCTTTGTCCATGGACTAATTTCTCTCCCCCAGCTTCTTTGGAGCAGAATCAGCTTTTGTTTAAAGCAACAAGCTGCAGAGATACTTGCTTTTGGTGTTTATGTTTTTCATTTCCAGGCAAACCCCACTCCAGAGCCCCTTGAACGCAGGTCCGGGAACTGAACATTCAGACCGCAGCAAATCTCTGTGCCCTGAGGATCAGAATAGAAGATTGTTTTTACGCAGGGGATTTTATAGCATGGGTTTGGCTTCTGATGTCCATCCAAAGCACACAGGCGGAGAAGGAATGCTCTGTTTTCAGGCTGTAATGGAGTCACTGTTTTAATTTTAGCTTCTCCGCAGCAAAGCTGTAAGCAAACTGTTATCCAAGTGAAGGACCCTAAGGAGGCTGGAAGAGCAGCAGATAGACCTGAACCTTCCCAAACACCCACCAAGTTTGCACAGGCACTCAAACGTGGCATCTGCCGTGCATGAGGACTCCAGGAAACCTCAAATGTTGACGCTGCAACCCCGAAATTTGTGGGTCTTTCTTATAAACATCGATGTGACTCATCTGGGCAACACAGAGGTGCAACTGGCACTGTACTGAGCTGTGTCAGATGGATCAGTGTGGAGAACCCCAGCGCCCATGCCAGCAGTGTCAGGTTGGCAGGGCTGCATCCCCAGGGCCACCCAGAAATGCTCAAAGGCCACCAAAATACAGAGGAGCTTCAGAGAGTGCAATTTATGTAGGTGTTAGGAAACAAAATGGATCCAAGGGCGCATTATCTCCCCTACAAGATTAGTTTTGTGTGTTGATAATTACCACTGGACACTGTCATCCAGTTCTGTTTCACTCGTGGTCCACTGAAGCTCCAGGAGGGTCCATGATGAGTTTCCTGGGCTAGTGGTGCCTTCAGAGCTGCCCGGGCCATGCTGGGGAGCCTCCAGGTGCAAACGAACCCCCAGAAATATCTCAATTATGTCGAGCCAATTATTTCTGAGCATCCTTTCCTCCTTCCTGGGGTTTAAAAAAGAAACAGTGAACTCTTCATTCTGTGCTCTGCCCACCAGGCTATTCCTTCAAGAGCCACTGTGGGACACAGCAAACTGAACCGATCACTCCCAACTTAATATTTATCGGGAGCTTTTGCTTTCCCTCTCTGGGGTTGGATTGAGCAATCGCCCAGCACTGTTGCGCTCCCAGGATTCGCCGGCGTTTTCCGCGAGGAACCTTTGAGCCGCCGGCTCGGGTACAAATGGGGGATGTTGCAATGGGCCCGTGGGGACCCTGCTGCAAGGCTGCCCCGTGCAGAGACGGCGGCGACGCGCGCCCCGCGCAAGCCTAGCCGGGAAGCGCGCGCTGAAGGGGCGAATTCTATTTCTAACGCAAATATTTACACTTGTTGGCTGTATGGATTTCTTTCATAAGTTTTCCCGGCGGGGAACAGGCGCGGGAGCTGTGAATCACAGGCGCTGTGGTGAAACTTGGAGCTGGGAACTGGCCTGGAGGCGCTGCCTGAACTCCCTCTCGCCTCCTGCGAGCGGTTGGATGAATGGAGCTTGCGTGTCCAAGCCATCGGGGACAGATGGCTGCCCACCCTCATCTCTGCAGCTAGTCTAATAGTCTTTTTTTTCAGGTGAGCAAGTGTGGAAATGTTGGTCTGGGTTGCTGCTTTCCATTTGGAAACAAGGCATGTGCTGGATGCTGGCTGGAGCAGCCAGGAAGATGGCAGGGTGGCTTGGAGAAGGCACCTCGCTTTGGAGAAAGGTCAGGTGGGGGGAAATGGATTATTTGGATCACGGGATAAATTAGCTTGGAAGGGACCTCAGCTGGTCTCTGTTCCAAGCTCCTGCTCAAAGAAGGGTCAGCTTTGAGGGGGTGGCTCCATCTGGGCCAGAAAACATCTGGGCTCTCTGGAGCGCAATCCTGGGGGCAATGCCACCAAGTGGCCCTCCCATGTCACCCAGCGCATGGGATACCTCCATGTGCATCTGCCGTGATGAGAAGCATGCAAACGCCTCGACCAGGGCTCCAATTTCCCCCCACTGCCTTCCCCTCTTTCCCAAATCCATGCATTTAGGAGCAGCTCCTGTGTGTGCAGTCCCCGCGGCGATGGCTGTAGGCAAGAAAGAGGTCCCCAAAATGGAAAGCGCAGCAGAAAAGCAACACTCGCTTGATAAATGAAGGTGGCTTTCCCTTTAGGATTGTGCTGAAGTTTCTTTTTCCCACTACTGACATTTTTCTCTCTGTTTTGCACCTAACCCAAGAGGCATCTCCTTCCCTTGAGCTTGCACTCCTGAGCCTTGCTGCTATCAGCAAAAATGCGATTCGAGCATTTGTTTGCCCTTGGGAGGCTTTTTATTTTTCACCCCCTTAAACAAAAGCAGAAACTTTTTGGAAAAGAAGTAACTTTCTGTAGCTTCCAGGGTTCCTGCGGCAGCTGCAGCGCATCCATGGGTCGCTGGATTTTGCTCTCCGAACCGCGGGGACGCAGCGAGGCCGAGACCGCTCGCCGTGATAAGCAGCTGTCGCTGCAGATGGAGAGATAAAAGCAGAAGTGAGATGGGAAGTGCCTAAGGACACCAAATAATGTCCTGAGCAGGAAGAAATGCTGCCCGGTGACTTGACCGTGGGCAAGTTGTTTCCTCTGCTCCTGCTTTCATCTACGGCAGGTCGCAATGTGCATGGCGCTGATATGGGAGTGCAGGACATCATGGACCTTCGTTGGAGAGGGAAGATAAACCCTCCTTGGACTTTGAGCTCAGCCCTACAACCATCCCATACAACCCCTTTGGTTTCAGGCTGTTGTTCCCAGGATGACGAGAGTTGTCTTCTGAGTTTTGAGCCGAAATCCAACAACCCCACACTATCTTCTTGCCTGAAAAACTCTTTATTTTACTCTGATATTTGCCTTTTTCCTCTGACACACTTGCAGAGAACAATCCTGTCGTCTCTCTGATGGGCTAAGAAAGCTCACGGGTTTGGGGTGCCTCTTAGGAGAGGTCCCCTGTTCCCTCTCCCATTCCCTACACTTATTCCACCCCAATTTATCCAACATAGCCATGGGTGCCATACACATTACTGCAAATGAGTTTTCATCACTTCATCACCACGTCAGTGCTGGTTCCTTGTCTCTAATGGAAACCACGCGTGGATCATCTTCTCCATGGTCGATCTTCTCCTTTCTGCTTTTCCTTTGTGCTGTTTGAGTCTTTCCAGCAAGTTGCTGCTGCTGCTGCTAAAATTATCTCCTTTGCCTGCTGCTCGGCCCATGTCACACCTCCTCCCGCAGCTCCGCATGGGCTCCTGGTCTCCTTCCATGGCAAATTCAGACACCTCATCTTCCTTCCAAGCTCCCGTGCTGCTCCACGCTGGCCAACCCACGTCTTTTCTCCTGGGGCTTGCGGTATCTTTGCCATGTTGTACTCAGCAGGGTGCAAATATGCTGCGCTTTGGTGCTTCTGTCCCTAAAACAGCTCCATGGTGCCTCCTGTGATAGTCCCTTAGTGCCGCCTCACTTCACTCTCTGGTCTCTGTCCCCTTCAATGGTGAGCACCATGAGGAGCTCAAAGAGGTTCCCACCACCCTCTGCATCCCCAATTGGTGGTATCACCCTAAACCCCCCAACTTGATGAGCATCCCAGCACCCCATATCTTGCAGAAGCGGGTATGTGGGAGGCCAAAGTGGGAGGAAGCACCTTCAGCAGCTGGAGGGTGGATTTGGGGCTCAGGAGGACAAGGGGCACTCAGCTCTGGGCCCTTTTCTTTGCCATATTTATGCAGAGACATGCAGGATGCAATCACAGACACTGCAACTACCACTAGGCTCACAGGAGTGGTGAAATGGAGGGCTTAAAACAAGCTGGGGACCCGTCTGGCAGATCCCCTGGCATGATTCAATGTGTATTGACCATCCCAGAAGACATTTTTCTTAAAACTTTCCATCCTTTGCTAAACTCTTTGCTAAACAGTTGGAAAGCTGTTCCTTAGCTGTAACTTAAACCTTCTTTTCTGCAAACAGAGCTAATTCCTCCTTCATCACCACTTGTAAGCATCAAGCCCCCTTGATCAGATATTTATTTCTAGTATTATTTCTCTCCACAGTTATCTCCTTTTTAACACCACTACATCTAATTTGTCCAGCTTCTCCTTACATGCCATGTTTTCCAAAGCTTTAAAGTTTCCCTTTTCTGAATTCTCACCCATTTTTATTACTTTTATTAACATGTCCTTGCTCCAAGCTGCAGACTCTCAAGTGCCAGGATCATCCTGGTGCCCTGAACCCCACATTCCTGTTTGCGGATCCCAAGTGCTGCTGTTCTGGGCGATGCTGAAGGACTCCTGGGATCCTTGGAGCTCTCCATGCCTTGGGAAACCAGCTCGTGGCAGCAGCAATGGCAGCATCTCCTGCTGTCAGGGGGTCCCCACAATGTGCTGGTGCAGCGCTTCGTGGAGTTCAGCCTTTTCGCTTGTGTCAGCAGCTTCACCGAAAGCCATCGGGAGACTCCAGACTAAAAGAGAGCTGATGAGGCTCGGATTTCCAACGTGAGAGTCCCTTAATTGGGTCCTACTGCACGCTTGTCACTGGAGACGCAGTTCTGGTGATGCTGAAGGCTGTTGGAGGGATTAGCACCGTGTTTATTCTGGGCTGAATGAGACAATTTAATTTCTCTTAAATGCGCTGCCCTCCCTGGGGCACATTCTCGCATGCAGATGCCCTGCCAACGCAGCGTCAAAACCCTGCACTTGCTTTTTACTGTTGTTTTAATTAAATTAGACTTACAAACAAGCGTCATACAAGCGTAGTGTTAGGAATGGAAAAAGAGGGCTGTGAATTTGGGTAATTTTAAGCACGCTGTTTGCATCATGTGCTCAGGAGCAGAACCCCTGGATTTCCAGGCGGTGGATTGAAAGGAAAAGGAAGTTTATTTTAGTGATGCAGTGTCCCTGCTTCTCATTAGCCCCCTCATAGAAGAGCTGTGTAAATAATCCAAGTGCATAGCCCCAGGAGAGATGCTCCTCTGCCTTCTCCAACCACCTGGGAATATCCAGGTCATTCCTGGGGGCTCCTTGGGACCTCCCATCTCATAGGAGCCCTTCCTTGTGGGAAGTCTCTCCTTGGGTGCTCCCAAGTGGGCCAAGACCCTCTAACATCGCCCTGTCCCACACTTTGCAAAACAAAAACCCAAAAACTTTGCTTTGCAAAACAAAACCAAAAAAAAAAAAAAATGTTGCTTTTTGTAGGTTTCTAGTGGCCTCTTTTGGCTTCGATTGGCAGCAGGAGGAAAGCAGGACGTTCCCTCCCTAATGTTCAATTTTGTGGGAGCGGTGGGTACACGGCTTCCCTTTTTTTTTAAAAAAAAATAAAGCCGCTTTTTCTTTGTGTGTGCCTGTATGTGCGCTGACTTAATTTTAATTCAGATCAGCTCGTTCTGGCTCATTTTGCAGCCGCCTCACTGCTTGTGCCAGCACAAGGGAGGCAACGAGCAGCTGGGAGCGGAGGAAGCCGTTTTTGTCAGAAGCGCCGATTTCTGCCAGTTTAAAACCATTATGAAACCCTGGGTCTATTGGAGCCACTCTGGGGCTGCCTGAGAGGCCACAGACCCAAATTCTCATCCGCCTCCTTCCCAGTTCCTTTTCCCCCACATACAGAGCAGTACAGCCCAATATTCCACTGCTGAATTGGGTTAAAAGGCTGTTTTTAACTATTTATGGCTAATAATGAAATGAATCAGCAGCTTTTCCACCTAGATGAACCTTGGACCCGCAGGGGGATCGTTCGAGGATCAGGGTCTCCATGATTGTGCCTTGAGAGGCAAAGTCAGCCTGAAACGACGCCCGGTCGATGGGCAATTATTTTTATAGCGTTCCCATCACGGGAGGAAATAGTGGGATGCTGATACAGCAGCTCCAGTTTTATTTTCCGAATAGCTCAGAAACTATTTTGTTACGGATTTCTTTTTTAATCTCCTCATAGCCTTGGGGCACAGTAAAATAAAATAAAATAAAATAAAATAAAATAAAATAAAATAAAATAAAATAAAATGTAAAACAAAACAAAATAAAATAAAAATGTCAATATTAACTTGCTCCTTAGGAAGGGAGGAATCTATTTGGAGAACAAATCCCTAGGATAGGATAATATCCAAATGGATTGCATGCTTGATCTGGCTCTCATTGTATGGATTTATTTCATAAATACTCCTATTTTTACACTGGAAACCCACCCAAATTAGGCTTTTAGGACTGGAGATGCGCTCGATGGGTAGAACTGAGGGCAGAAAATGATTTAAAAGTGTGCTTCAATGGTTTTAAAGGGGGAGATGGTTTTAAAGATGTTTTTAGGGGACGAAGAGTGGGAAAGACTCAAGGGAACCGCTTTTTCTTTGGACCTGCTCCTGTTTAGGGGCAGAACCCCAGTTTCCCACCGGGAAACCACCCCGCGAGGGGCTGACACGGTAAGCGCAGCGCTGCGGGCCCGGCCCGTTCAGCCCTTCCCCATGTCGGGCCACGCAGGCTCCGCTGGGCCGCGCAGGCCGCGCCCGTTGCCACGGTGACGGAGGCGCCACGTGACGGCGCGCGCCTCACGTGAGCGGCCAACGGGCGTCGCGCGGCGATGACGCACGGGGCGGGGTGGAGTGGGGGGGCAGGCTGAGGCGTGGGGTCCGGCGCCGCCATGGAGGAGCGGGAGCGGTTGCGGCGGCAGATCCGCTTGCTGCAGGGTACG